CAGCGGGTGTGAAAAATTTTGAAAAAGTCTGATTTCTAATCTTTTCTCCATCTTTCTTTACGGCAAACATCACACATCTATTAAAGAAAATTGGCCATTTAAACAAAGTAATGAAACTAAGATTCCGCCTTTCTTACGTATATATGGCCTACCCGTTGCCTCCGGATAGCCTTAAGAATTAAAAAGCTATGTTTTAAAATACTAATATTCCTGCGCAATATTCGAAAGCTTAAATAATAATTAAATTGCCAACTTGTTATAAAATTAAATTAAGAAATCTTGCCTGATAAAAATTTAATTATCTAATGGCTAATATAACATGAAAAATTGTAATTTTATTAATTTAATTTAGAATTAATTTAATCGATTTTTTATGAAAATTATAAGAATGTACATATAGACATATATTAAATTAACGTAAATTTTATTTTGCAAAAATTGATATTACTTATAATTTAATTTTTAATTTTTTATTAAAGGTGTTGAATAAAAGTTAATTTTAGTAGATAAATACATACATCATTATAATTAGAATAGTAAAATATTAAAGCGGATTTAGTGTATCAAAATCAAAGAAGGATCAAACTCATCTTTTAAGGAAAATTTTTAGATACAGTCTGGTACAAAAGTATAAGGCCACGTGTGTATAATTACTAGGGCGGATTTATATTGAAATAAAATTGGAATATCGAAAAACTTCTCGACATAATATAACAAAAATTCTATTTCAATACAAATCCAATCTCTAGTAATTGCTAATTTTGTTTCGCTTCACTGTTAAACCTTAAGATTTAATTTCCGTAAATTTTTTGCGAGCTTTAAAATGAGTATAAATTTATAGAAAAATATGTCCACTTTATAGAGTTATGATTTTCTAAATAAATACACCCTATTGTTGGTGCAAAAATACCGTATTACTTCTAATAGTGCGACTTTCTCCAATAGACCGACCGCTTCTAATAAACCGACCAGTAGACGAAGGTTGAAAAATAAACCGACTGGTCGCACTATTAGAAGAAATACGGTGTATGAAAAAAGTTTAAATTTAATTTTTTACAAATTTTACTAATGAAAACAAATAATTATAAAATAAATTCTTGAATTAATAATCTTTCAATTTTTTACACTTTCTATCAATTGTCCTCAAAATCCCCTTAAAATGATAAATTTAACGTATAAAATCATCAAAAACTGCCTTACCAATCTTTTAATTCATTCTTTTTTATACCCAAAATTTTCACTTCATTATTCGCGTCTATACGCTGACCAATACTTTTCAATAAAAATTTATTAATCAACTTTTCTTTTATTTTCTCAAATTTAACATTGAATTTAGATGAAAGATCAATGTAATTTTGAATAATTTGTTTGTTAAATTTAATTCCCAAAAGCCAGGAAGTGCAAAAATGTTTTCTAAAATAATTTTATAATTTGAAATATTTGGAAATTCAGCTCTAGTCTTGGAAATCTTTGGAAATCCGAATAATGCTCGAAAATTTTGAATAAAATTCGTAAACGTTATGATCAAACCAATAATTGGTATTGATCTCAATGATGTCGAAAGAAAGAGCTACAGGTTTTGCAATGACTTAATTGTCCGCGTGCAAGGTCCTCTGAGCTGTTTTTGTGATAATTTCCGGCGACACTAAATAGAAAGGTTGAAAATTCCCATTAAACAAGCGTCCATCAAAACCGAGGAGTGCTAATCCATGTCAGTTTTCTACTGACGTGCCTACACTAAAGCCAAAATATTTTTTTTACTTTTCGATTATTTTTAATCCACATTTTTCCGTTTTCATTCCAATATGACAATAATCAACTTCATGAAAATTTTCGAGTTGATTGACTATTTCTTTGTCAATTTGTAATTCAATAAATGAACAAAAATTTTCTTGACTGATTTGAGAAGTTGTAATACAGGAAACAACAATGTAATGATTATACTGAAAAATAAAAATCACGGATGTAAACAAAAATTAAAAAAGAGAATAAAAGGAAATTGCGGGCATATCAACGCATACTGAGTACCGATTTAAATAATAGACTCGGGCATGGTTTTTGCTGTATCGGGCATTGTTTCGGGCATGATTTTTGCTGTATTTCGGCCCAATGTTAATTCAGGGGGTTGATTTTATGGGCTATAACCGGGCTTTACCTTTGACCGACTGCCCATTTATCACATTTAACAAAAAATTTACTGGGTAGGGGGAATAAATACCTAAGTACCTTCATTAACTACATACAAATAAATTATTAAAACTCTAATTAACTTAATATAATATAACGTTTTTATTTTCAAATTAATAAATAACGTTTATTATTTTACTTTCTAATTCATCCTCCTTCATTTTGGTCAGTTAATTTTTGCATATCAGTATTTTTACTGATAATGTTTAGGAAATGCTGTTAATTTGGTAATTTAATAATGAAACTGACTCCTTAAAATAATGCAAAAAAGGTGGTAGATATATGTATAAAAACTGTAAGATCAGTAAAACAATTGTTTGGGTTTTACTAAGGAGAGGCTCTATCATATAAGCATTATCTGAGCCCAAAATCTTTCAATTGAATAAAGTTATGCCAAAAATAAGGTGTGAAGTTACTTTTGGATCACCCTGTACAAGTTTAAGCCATGTAAATAGATGCTGATCAATGCCTGCCCGGTCCTAAACACTAATATGTTTTTGCTGCATCCCTCTAAGTAATCAAACTTATTATAAATTAACTCTTTGAATAAATCTATTTTTCAATCTACATTTGACCATGGCTTAGAACCGAATGTATTATAGTGTACGTAAAACAGTTCAGTTTTGCTATTGCAAAAGATTAATATTGCAACACACTGATAAGACACTGTTTTTGTTAAAAGATTAACTATCCTCAATTTTTTAATTTTAAACAAAAAATCTGATTTATTCAAAATATTACCATCTTTTTGTATTTTGTTCCCTCAACAATATTTTCAAAATTTGACTTGTTTTTATATTGTTTGTTTGATAATTTTTGTATTTTATCAAGTCCTAAAATGCAAGAGTTATTTTATGAAATATCTTTTAAATATTATCTTTTAAATATGACTAAAATCCGAATTATGCAGAAGTTTTCGCAGAGAACAGTTTCGTCAGAGATCGATCTCGTCAGAAGGCAGTGCCGTCAGTAAGGCTCCATTTTTAAAAATCTGATTAAACAACTGGTTTTGACTTATACTAGATTTTTTGTCTTGATCGATCTGAACAAATGAGGTGTCATTCGAAAGAGCTTATAAAAGCTGATTTTTGGGATGAAAAATTCTATTTCATAAATGTTATTTAACTTAAAAAAGCCATTTTGACGTAAATTAGATTATGTAAGATCCTTAGATGTACGAGATTACTAAAATACCTTTTAACATTACGTCTACAATAATTTTTAAATTTGATTTTGTAATTTTATAAGTGACTGATTGTTCAGGATATGTTGGGCTATAAATATTAATTCCTTCTTGTTTTTGAAGATTTTGGACATTTTTTGTTTTATTTATAATTCTTAAAGGAGCTTGCCAATTCCTATAATTTAAATCCTTATAGACTTACGGAAATATAATAACCATGTAGCAAACGTTAAAAAGAAACGCTCCAGCAATTCAACGAAATTAGCCCCTGGATATAATAAAAACACTTTTACTAACATTAACGAAATAGAATTTCCGTCGAGAAAGCCAAATTGACTGTTATAAACACAGTAATCTAAATAATATGAATTATCTAATTTTCATAAAATTAAAAGTCTCAAGCAAATATTTATAGAACTTTCAGCAGTTGCTATGTGGATTTTTATTTTTGTATGTTAGTGCAGTGCACTGACAAATAATAAATTTAATTTTAAATTTTTAAAGGGGCCATAAGTGATTAAATCCTTTTCACACTTCCGCCTACTTCCGATTTTCTGGCCTTCGTTTTTGTCATCAGTTCTTTAGAAATCGGCAGATGCCATCCCAACCCCATAATACATTCAAATCACCATTCATCACTAGACGGGGGTTTAAAGTAGATACGTCGAGTACCGAATAATTGGGGAAAAACTGAGTTCGAGTAATACCGAGTTTGAAAACCCCGAGTTCGAATATGAATTAACTTTTTAGGCCGAGTTTGAGTCCCTAGTTTAAAGTTTTTTTTGAACGTGTCCTAGGCTTTTGTAAGCGAACTTAGAATATTAAACCTTTTGCCCAATTTTTTAAAGCAATGAATGTTTGATTGAAAATTTCTCTTTCTCTTTCAGTCTTTTCATTAATTAATTTCTCCAAATATTCATAGCTTTTGAATACTGCATGATTATAAAATTTAATTGAAGAATTTTGTTGTTCTTCATTTTCTTTGCTCAAATTATTTGAAAATTTCCTCATTAATGGTTCAATCCAGGCGGAATCCTGTGGAACTATACGAGTATCTGGCTTGTGAACAAAAGTAATGTCAAATTCAGTTGTCGCTATTTCAAAATTGAAAAATTCATCAGTTGAGGTTGAGCGACGTAAATTGTTTACGAATCTGCTTTTCTTAAAAATTTTATTTTTTGCTAATCAGTAATTCCCGACCCAGAAAGCGTCGGGAATTCCATGAATCGGGAATAGTGTCGGTGTAATCCCTGTTATAAGGCAAAAAGTTTAAAGCTTATTTTACTTTTTTGAATTACCCTTAAGCTTCTGTTATTTTACTTTGGACAATTTAAATATAGTGGAATATTTCCGATATAAAAATTGAATAGTCATCCGAGGGCAGGCCGAAGCTTGCGGACCGACTTTTGCGGACCGAAACTTGCGGACCCGACGAATTTCTCAAAACATAGCTCATTCGAAAGAGCTCGACGAGCTGAGTCGAATGACATCAAAATCATCGTGATTGTACAAGCTTGGACAAAGTTACGATAGAAAAACAAAAACCTAAATCTATGGTCTGCAAAAGTCTGTACGCAAGTTTCGCACTACCCATTTGAGGTAGCAAGTGAATCGCAAATCGAGGGCTTATTTAATACCACAACTGTGTACATTTACCCAAAATTTTCCCAACCTTGCAAAGATAGCAGAAAAGCGAATTATTCGAACAATTGTACATAAATGGAGGTCTACAAAATGTTTTTGCTTCTCCATTAAATATTTGTTTAGCTTTGATTTTTTCTTCTTCCTCTCCTTTTCCTGTCCCCACAGCAACTACAATTGCTTGTATATGTCCTCCTATTTTCTTGTATGGACTGGCCATTAATAATCCAAAATTGTTATTTTTTGTTAAATTTATCCATTTATCGAAGAGTGCTTGGAAAAATTCCTTTGGATTTTTAACATCTATTTTATTAGAAAATACATTGTTTATCATTGTTTTGGCATCATATTCCTCATTTAACAATCCCATAGGATCGATAAGTTCAAATCCGAGATGTTTATATGATTCAGTGTTTGTTCCTTCTTTAGCTTCCGTTAAACTCTCGTTAAGTGATAAAGGTAGAAAACCTTCTGGATTTAAATAATCATCACTGCTTGATTGAATATCTGAATAATTATTAACAGAACTTTGATTTTATTAAGTATTAGGTAAGAAGGAACACAAATATGAGATAAAGCATGTTGCGAAAAAGGATGTGGCGAAACTATTATTAACACAAAAAAAACGGAATCATAATTAGCCGAACTACGGAGGCCCATTCACGATCATAGGGCATATTTCAATTGAATATTTTGCCTGTATTTACGTTTTGTAGGATAATTTTATTGCCAAAATATCAATTTTTTCTTTATTTTATTTATACATATTGTTAAATATTTCAGTAATTAATCTAAGGCTCTTACTTTTATATTCCTATTTGTATTTTTTGGAAGCCAAACTCTTGATTTGGCTAAAATCGTGTCGTGATTATATGTTTGTTAACCGCCGTTGTTATTGCCACCATCTACAATAACAACACATGCTCCAGGGCTGGGCAAAATCAAAAAATAAAGAGCGGAATGCGAAACTTTTTGCGCTGAAAAATGTGAAAAATGCGAAAGATGCGAAACTAGATTTTCTGTAAATCATCCAGCCCTGCCATGAACCCTTTAAAAATAACCCCGTATGGCTGAACATTTTCGCTCTAACATAATTTTTACCTAATTTAATTTGTTCTTTCATTTTAATTAACTCATTAATTCTTTCTTCCGCTTTAGCCACCCATTCATTAATCTCTTGTTTCTCTTTTAAATTCAACATTTCCTGAACGAAATTTCTCTGAGTTCTGGTTAATTTCCCATCCATATTTTGTTCTTTTGAATAAATAAAATATTCACAAATTTTATAAAAATACAATTTTTCTTTCATTTTATCACCCAAATCTTTCTCAAGAATTTCATTTCTTTCAGATATAGGTAACAAATTAATTAATAAAATATTTAATTCTTCTTCAATTTCATTTTCATTAATATCCTTCAAAGATTTTTCTATAATTTCATTCCAATGCTTTTGCATTTCCAAAAATTCTTCCTCCTCAAAATAAACATCAAAAACCAATTTATTTTTTAATTTTAGCTTCTCAAAAAATTCAAAACGCTTTCCAATCTCATTTACAAAAATACAAATATTTAATAATTTCCTTCCAATTTGAGTTTTTCCTTTATTAAATTTATTAAAAATTTCAAACAAATTTTTATCTTCAATAAAATATTTAACTTTAATTTCATCTTCATTAACATCTTTAATTTCAACAATTTGTGAAGATGCAGATTTTATCTGCTTGTTGTCTTCTACCTAAATGGTAATAATTTTGTTTTCTTAATTACAGAACTTATTTAATCGTGGGTAAAAAATGTGTGATATCCTCCAGTACTTTTCCCTTTAATCTATCTATATCATGCCCAATTGACATATATCCTACTCTTAATCCCCTATAACCCTACTAATCCTCCTTATCCGTTTTAATCCTCAAAAACATTTTTGATTAATGATATCATTTCTAACTTCCTCGATACCCCCTTTATCCCTTAATTTCTTTAAATCTCCCTTATCTTATAAACCACAAATTTGACACTGCGGAATAAAGTTTATTCCGCAGTTCTGTTAGTCCCGATCAGTATTGTTTCTCGGTATCGGGTTCTTGAGTATCAGTCAATCTCGGTCTCGGGTTGGCCGATACCAGTATCGTTTTTTCCAACTTTAGAATAAACTAATGTTTAACGTCTATGCTAAAATCAAAATTTGTTACTTTTCCAGAATTAGAATCAATTGATGATACTGGATTTGAATCAATTTTTATAGTTTTTTCACGTTTTGGCTTATTATCTTTTTTATTATTCGTTTTGCACTTCTCATTGACATCATTTTTTATCTCTAATTTTTTCTTCAAATCTTCTTTTTTCATTTCAATTTCAATTTGCTTCTTTACTTCTTCCACCTTTTTAATTATTTTCCTATCAATTTTATTCTTTAACTTCATCTCTTTTTTCCTATCTTGATTTTTATTATTTTTTATTAAATTCATTATTTCTTCAATATTTTCATCGTTAATAAAATTTTTAATATTTTTTTCTATCTCTTCAGACGTAATTCTTGCATAAATTTCTTAAGAATATATTTTTATTAAAAGTTGTTTTTTTGAATATTTAATTAATTTGGATTGCTTTTTAAATTAGAGTTAAGGATCTCGGCATCCGGATCATTAAAATTTCGGATATTCGGATTTTAAATGAATCCACTATTGCAAACGAACCGCTTTGGTCATAAGAACCTCACTTTGTTAAATTTTGCCTTCCGTATCTGGTCATGTAAAATTTATGTTTATTGAATCAGTATATCCGAGGATTTTTGTGATACGCCTATCCTGCATCACTTTTAATAAGCTCATGGATCTTTATTGGATTATAACTTTAGATCGTACAAAGGGATGAAGTTAAAGATCTTGGTTTTTGTTGTGGATCATACCAAAGATTTAATAAAGGTTCTGCCCGTCCGGGAAATAAAGGTGCCTGTCAAGGACACGGAAGAAAAGCCGGAATAAATTGAACTTGAGAGAAGAAACACGAGAAAGAAGAAAAGATGGTATTGAGATATTATCGGTCAATTTTTTACATTAATAATTTCAATATATAATGTTTTATGCTTTTCCCAGCTTTTAACTTTTACAATTCCATATAAATATTTTTTAAATAAAATAAAACTTTTCAACTTTAAAATAAATAAAACTTATTCTATAATAGTTAATAATAGAATAAGGTAGAGGTTTAAATCGCCCAGTTCACGGCCCTTTTAAATCTTTAAATTATTAAGATTAATTTGGTGATATTTAGACGAATTGTTCATCTTTCAATAGTTTTCATAAATTTTCAAGTATCCGAAATTTTAAAGTATACCTTATAATTATTACATTATGGTTTACTTCCTTTCAGCTTAGAAGTAAATTTTTTCTTACTTCCTTTCCTTCTTTAATTATTAATTATAGCATTACCTTTTTTAATGTGCATTTGATAAAAATTTTTATATTCGTTTAATAATTTTTTTAGTGTATTATAATTTTCAGTTTTGATCCATTTAATAAATGCATCTGATGTCTGATTTATTGTATTTTCTCTCCGGAGAAGATTATTCCATTCTTTGCAGAATTTTTCAAATTCGATATTTTCATCATTTATCTAAATATAAGCACAATATGCAGTCGAATCGCGATATAACGAACTCCAAGAAACCAAAAAATTTCGTTATATCAAATGGTTTGATAAATCTAGAGTATTTTCTTGATAACTCTTAGTCATTGACCAGTGAAAGGCTGTTATTTCAAAAGCAGGAAAATTATTGTCCTATTAGTCCTTGACTGCGATTCGTACTTGTTTTGAAGTAAAGCGGACCCTTTGGTCAAAAAATTAAAACTTTTATTTGCAATTAACATTTACGCGATCGCAGCCCTATCTTATTCTATAAATCTTAAAATTTTTTTAAATATTTTTGGAATTAAAAAAAACAAATTTACACTATCGTCCTCGTCCATTTTTCCTTCGATCCATAATTTTAACCCTTCCATCATTTTTTTTAATTTGATTAGTTTTATTTTCTATATTATTAATATTTAATAGGTAAATTCCATCGAAAATTAAATTTAAAACAAATTTTTTCGCATTCCAAAATTTAATTATCCAATTATTTTTATCCAAACTTTTCCATTTTCCTTTCCCATCAACAGGAAACAACTCGTTATTTACATATCTGTACCAAACAATAAAATCTGCCAATAGATTAGCTCGTTTAGATGGCAAGGTAGCTCTCGACATTAAAGCCATTACATAATAATTAATTAATTCTCTGTCGTCAAAGAATACTATAAATTGAAAATTTATTTTTATTATTCTTAGTTATTTTTATGAGAAATCTCGGTCTGATTTCAATAGTCTATCTGATAAAAATCTAAATGTCTATTATTAGTATCTAAACACTTATAACCAGAGCGAGTTTTTTATGAACAAAAAACCTGATAATAGGTACCTAAAACGTTCGAAAAAAGGTTTAAATAGTTGGAAAAAATTATCTGACAACCCATTATTATCAAAAATATCACAAAATATTGTCCAGCAAGAATTTAATAAGCTTCCTAAAACTTGCTTACCATGATCGTTAAGCAAATCATATTTTTCTAAAAATGCTATATTTCCCTCACTTCCTTCAAGAAAAGACTTTAAAATATAAATTGCGCCTTTTTTATTTTTGAACATCTTAACCTTGTTTACATCATTTTCAAAAATTTTGTCAATATAATTTAAATGATCTTTTGCTAAAAATTCTCTGATTTTCAGATTAAAATCAGTTTCCTTCGAATAGGCAATTTCATCAAGACGTTTATAACCTTTAGTTTTTATTTTGCTTAGTTCAAGCCCAATGTTAAGAGACTTTCCTTCTCTCGCTAAATTTATAAGTTAAACGTTTCGGGGCTATATCTTGAGTCATAACTTTTTGATTCTAAGCTGATTTAAATAACTATTAAGTCTTTCGAACGCTCTGGTAGGTGAATTATTTCAGCTAACAGTGCTTAGGTAAAGTATGAATATCTTTACCAGTTCATCCAATAAAAGTAATTCCGAATAAACATCGATAATAGTGAGTGTGCTAACTTATCCAGAGTAACTTTTTAAAGGTTGATCTGATTAAAAATCCCGTTATAAAATACTCCTCACATTCAGAACTTTTGATTTATATTATAATTATTTAAATCTATTAAAATGTTGTGGCCAAATTTGGCCTCAAAATCGGATTAATGATATTGAATCGCTTACTTAAATTTACGTAATCTTTTCTTTTTTCATCTATATTTGTATAAAAATTAAATAATATAAACAAAGCATTATCAATCACAGTATTTCTTAGAAATTCGATTACATCTTTTTTTGATGACTTGAAAGCTTCATCTACTTTCTCTATTCCGAGAGAATTTTTGTTATCACTCTTATTTAATAAATTCAAAATTATTCCTTCAAATGTCTGGATTTTAGTAAACAATGATGCAGAATTTAGCTGCTTTTCTTCTATTCTGAAATAATCTTCTCTGTAAATTTTATGCACATTTTCTTGAGGAATGTCCATATAAAATATTCTTTTGTATAAGCTCCATCTGTAGGAAGGATCCAATGCTATCTCGAATTCAGCTATAATTATTTTTATTTAATTTTATTACTATTTTTATGTCCGCATTACAGATAGAATATGAATAAATAAAAACCCCATCATCGGGCTGTATGGTGGCACAGTCGGTTGTGCTTCAGTTTTGATCCTTTCCGTGATAGTTCGATTTCATCTCCCATCCAATGAATTTTTCCACAGCATGAAAAATTTTGAGCTCAATTCATCGACTAGGATTCGGATTTTTAGTGATAAAAACATAAAATATGTACCTAAATAGTTGGGAAAAAATGCCAAAACAAATTCAGGGAATTATTAAAACTACATATATACTGAATTTTCAAAAGAGCTAATGGATGCTAAAATATTTGAATAAATACCAGTGATAAAGCGAGTTAAGAAGCGACTCGGGTCAGGTTCTGGTTTCAAAGACATTTCTGTTTTATATAACTTACATTTTGACAAAATTTCTGGATATTCATTCTCCAACTTTTCCAAAAGCAAAGGACCAATCAAATTATATATTGCAGTCTTTGTATAAAAAGTCACACATTCTATCGCATCAGGGTTAGTCAATATTGTTTTGACAATATCATAACTAGAATTTTGCATTTCCTTCATAAATGTTGGAGAGGCAAAGCATTTTTCTATCATTTCATTAATTTGGTTTTTCGTTTCGCAATTTAATTCTTTATCGAAAATTTCATTAGTCTTAATTATTTGATTATGAAATTAAAAGATTTTCGTAGGAGAAATTTAAAGAGAAAAGTAAATTTTTTTGGATGTAATGTATGTTTTTTTCATTCGATTCGTCTTGTCGAGCTGAGTCGAATAACACTTCCTACTTCAGGAAATGATTCTGGACCGCCTAATAGGTCCCGAAATATTGAAAAATTATTTTTCAATATTTGGTTCAGAATATTCAGAATATAGCCCGATTCTGAATATGGGCTGATTGCAAAATAAAATAAAAAATAAAAAAAAACAGAAAAAATAATTAAACTTTGCAAAAGAAGGTAAAGAAAAGATTAAATAAAAAACTAAAAAAGGAATGCGCCACACAAACTTCATTCACGTGCATTCCTGTGAATGATGTTTGTGTGGGCAAAATACCCATCTCTTTTGTCTATTTTCTTGTCTATTTACCCCTCTCTCCATTTCTCTTTTTCTAAAACTAATTTTTCATGTATTGAAGTTTTGCAGGAAATTACTATTTAGCAAAACCTTTCTTTTCTGTTTGCACATCCGACTATTTCACATTTTTTTCCCAAACTTTCTATATAATTTTTTGCCCAAAGGCCAAAAACTATGACCGTTTGGCTCCTTTATAAACCCCTCACATAAACAGCTAAACATTGTCTACTACCGATTATTTCTTCATCAACAACATTTTAACAAAACCCTCTTCTGCCTGTTCCCTTATACTAAGTTGTTAAATATTTGAATAAATTTGTGGAATAAATATTATTTTAATATTTATTCAATTTGATTACAACAGTAGACACGATTTTGGGTGAAAAATTCGAAACAGCATCTAATAGCTTATTCGAAAGAGCTCGTAGAGCTGAGTCGAATGACAACAAAATTAACCAGCCTGACTTGATTAGACAAAATTTTTACTCGGACACGAATTCAACCTAGTCTACTTCGACTTAGTCGAATCCGGGTCCGGGTTTCGAAATAAACAAATTCTAAGCTAAGATTCGTGGTTTTAGCTTAGAAACCTATAGTATAAATTATTTTCAAAAAAAAAATAATTTTTATTGCGTTTTTAAGATGTCTCCCCTCCCTTGACGCTATCTCGGTCAGGGTCTCATAAAATCCCGTAGAGAGCCTCCAATCTCTAGGTAGGAATGGCTGTTAAAGTATGCTCGCGTGGATCCAGCTTTTATCGACTAAACTTAATTTTGAGAATGATCTAGTCCATTCTAAATCTCTTGATCATGTTTTGTAAATTTTAAAATATAAAGGATAAGTTAGTTAGTTCTTACATTTATTATGAATGTCTCTACATATTCATTCCAATATTTGTTCTCCAATAGGGTCTTGTTTTTCATCATAGAATATAGAAAACTATAATGTTTACAAAACTTTTCTTCTGTCATCCATTTATTGAAATTTTTTGTGTATTTAATAATAAATTCTTTAGCGCTTTTTAAGACATTTATGAACGCCTTTCCAAATTCAATAGACCACCCATATTCTTCCTTTTCCCCTTCTTCACTTTTTGGCATAGACATTAAATAATTCAAACGGGCTTCTTCAATTGGGTCGTTGATCTCTTTAATCCTTCTAAACCAGGAAGTAATTAAATTATGTGCATCTAAAATGTATGATCGTAGAGAAATTTCTTTTAAAAATTCCTCATCTCTAGGCTCTTGTAAATATTCCAAATATTTATTAATAGTCTCTACACTGTAACGAACTTGATTTGCGTCAACTTCAGATTTTATTTTAATAAACAATTCATTTTTTTGACTGTTTTTGCCAGTTTTAGTGGCATAATTAATTGTTAAAAAATAAAATAATAAAAAATAAAATTTTAAAAGCATGACAAAATTTATGAATGAAGTGTGATTTATTAAAATCTAAGGAAAGCCTATTAAATAAAATTATGAAATTTTTTAATAAAATGGTAAACAAGTCTAAGCATATGATTGAACTTGTGTTTAAAGATCTTGTACACATATGTAGAATATTTTATTTTATAATATATTTTTTCATAACCTTATTTTTACTAAATTGCCTTAATGTTTGAAATAAAAATTTGCACTTTTTATTTTGAAATTTTCAATGAAATTTAAATTTAGTGTAAGGGAGTCGATTGTTCCCGAATTAGAAACGGATTATTAACATGGTGACAACACGGATCCTGTTATGTCCATGATTTGAAAATTTACTATTATAAATTTAATTTTCTTTTTATCTATTTTGCCCCCATTCTTAATATGTTTAAATAATTCCTCCAGTCCTCTTGCAAATATCTTCCCATCCATTTTATTTAAATTGTCGCCCTTCATTCACCTTTACCTAAACATTTTCCTTTATGCATTTTCCTTATGTTTCTATCATCTACCCTCCCTTCCTAGTCCCTATATATGCATGTTTTTTCATTTTCAGTGCTCCTCGGAACCTCACTTGACCCTAATTTTATATTGCAGAAATTATTATTATTTGATTGCCTCATTAAATTTAGAGTTAGGGGCATTTTAAACTTAAAAAATACGTCTCATTCCCAGACATAATAGATCAGGTTTGATTTTTCCGGATTAGCCCGGTTAGGAGATAATTACTGTTTTAACGGATTTATTAATATTTATTTTGCATTGGATAATATTTTGAAAATAAAAATTTTTTTATTTAATGCGTTAAAAAATTTAAAAAATCCCTTTATTAATTTTTAATTAGTTGAACTGCAACGTCTTGAATTATTTAAAAAATTATTCGGTACTTCGACAGCAGCTAAAGTAAAATTACGTTGAAGTGGATTAATGTTGTTCTGGACAGTTTTGCTTAAAATAATCCCATGTTGATTCTCGATTATCTCCGCGTTTGCCGTATAATCATTATTATTCTTGTCGATCTGCTTTACTTCATTTTGTTTTAAATCCAGATTAGTTTCATTATTAATATTCTCTCCATTATTTATTTCTTCATTCTCTTCATGTATTGTAATTTGTCTTTCTCTTAAGGAATTTTCAACACAAACAGAATTGGCAATTATAGATGCTTTTCTGCTTTGTTTGCTAGATGTAGGCAAATTTACATAAAATGGATATTTGTTTGTAAAGTTTAGCTGAAAATTACTTTTCTTAAATGTGTATAAAATAGCTTTTTAGTCTATCTGACAAGGAAACTTGCGAAATTATGAATTTTATTATCGAAATTATTTTTAGCCCCCCCCCCCCGAAATACTTTCAATGTAACAAATGTTGGTTAAAGATAAGGATAAAGGAGAGTAAAGAAGATTTTGAAGGCAGGGCCAAAAAATTGGCAATATAAACTGTCTCGATCTAAACAATGGTGTGAGTTAGGCTTGTCAAAAGGCCCCGACTCGTACCGAAAGATCAGTAGGATATTTGGCCCTAATAAGCCCCCCCCCCATAAATCGCGATGTTCCTTTTGAAACAGATTTTTTACATATCATACCTGACTATCATTGCAAAAATATCTGAAACCATCACTTTTAGGATCTTCTGCATAAAATTTTTGGCCTAATTTTACAGTAACCTAAAGTAATTTATTATGTAAAATCCAATGATTTTGAAAACCTCTTTTCGATTAGGCATGAATAAAACCATTGATGCTGGTTTTTCAACTAAATCTTTAACTTCACCATTTGATGAACATATAGAAGCAGCTTCTAGTGCAGCTTTTTTAAAAGTATTTTGATTCCCTAATTGAATGTCTGTTATAGGCGGCATTGCATCAATGAAACGCAATTTTCTTTGTGGAAGACTACCAATAATAATAGGTACATTTAGTTCCAATGCATCAACACCTTAATTTTATTTTAAATTTCTTTTTAAGCAATTTACTTAGACTTAGGTTTTGCCAGGGTTGAAACAGACTCTTTGGGTAGTAGGTATTTTGAGGTAGGAGATTTTCATTTTGTCTCAGAGGGTGTTAAGAACATGCTAGGTAACTCTGCATTCAATTTACTAATACAGAGTAATCGAACTCCCTCTATTAAATAACTCCATCGAGAGATTGAAAATAATTTCCCAGGGTATTTATGTAATCATATACGGTATTCATTCAAGTTAAATTTTACTTTCCTTCATTTTGCACACTTATTCATTTTTAGGCATGTTACATAAGGAGCTAATGACTATTATTTATCTTTTGGAAGAAACTCTAACGCGATAATTAAAAATAAAATGAAGTAGTGCCGGTCATAAAACAGCGGGTGTCAATATCCACAAAATGCCTCAAAGCAATATTAAAAATATAATACCATCCGTAGTAACAAAAATACACAATTGGTAAGTAACATTTATTACACGTTCTTTATTTTCAATGTTTCCTTCGTTAGTTATATTTTGTTGGGCAGAATTTCGTCTTTTACATTTATTGATAATTTCGATGCTTATTTTACGATTTGTAACAAATTTATTTACTTCTGTCGTTGCAGAGGCGTAACAGGTTTCTGGATCAGAACCGTCTAGTGCATAGGAGCTATAATTGTGTGATCTAATATATTTTCTAGAAATCTAGTTATATACATACCTTGGCAGTAGCGGAGGTAATGCAAAATAACGCACAAATTTAAGACTAAAATTGTTTTGTAATATTTACTTTTAGAATGGGGTAAAATTTGATATGATAAAATAAAAAAAATCAGGAATGGGTCAGTTTATGATAAAAGTCCGGTCGGTTTTTAGCCTATTTTTTTTAGCTGTTAAGGTAAGCGTTCGGTTAAGCAAATTTTTCACGATATTAACCTTGCCTTCCTGACTTTTACTTTGGTCCTATAAAATTAGATCTGGTCTAAAATTTTTGTCAACTGCACCGTTCACAATATTTACCTATTCGTTATAATTTAATCTACTGTCTTATTTACTAAACAATTTTATCCTTAAACATACGTCGATCCAGGGTCCACAAATAATGCAAGGCTGTCTTCATGAATCTCGTTTACATCGGTTAAATTCGAATTTCTGCAATCACGAGAAATATTTATTTCAACAAGTTGCTTTAAACGTGCAGCAACTTTATCAACACGCCTATCTGTTCGATTCTCAATTTTTCCTATAATTTCTTTTAATTCCGGTAAGCTTTTAAAGCAATATACCTTCAATAACCATATTTTCTCCCCCAACAAAGGCGACACGATTAATTGAAAAATGTAGACGAATCTGCCCTCCTGTACAAGAAAATAAACCGAATTTTTTGACAATATTTTGGACATAGGGCAGAAAATAAAATTTTGGCATTCGAGCCAAATCAAAACAATCAACTACAGTAAAACCACAAATTGTTTTTGCTTTAATCTCTTCCTCGCTTTCTGAAAAAATTTTTTTAATCAAAAAAACGTTAAATATAAGCTTGAGAAAAATTGTCATTAGAATAGGACCTTAATATTAGTTTGTAAATTTATTAAGATATAATCTTAATAAAATTTATCAGATGTTAAGGATATTTATTCACTCTTCATTCTTTCTATTTTTGGATAACTAACCATGTTAGTTAAAAATATACTAAATAGAATGAGTGTCCAAATATTAGAAAAAAATCTTCAAAATACATATTAACTGACTTATTTGCGTTTTATTCTATGTACTAAAATATTTTTATTAAATTTCTAAACTCACTATTATCTCTATACTTTAATTCAAGCTGGATAGTATACAAAACCGATACACTTTTACTCTCCAAACTTGTAACAAGCCCTCGTTGAGGCAATCGAATCTTAAAACTCACAATATTTTTTAAAATTTTATCCAATTTAACCTCAAATTTAATTGTTTTCACCTCCCCAGCTCTAACTTCCGACGATGTATTTTTGCTAGTTACATCATTAACAAGTAGATCAGCTTCCATATATAAAATTTGATGTTCATTTATCTGTTGATATTTAATTAAGGAAAATTTCTGTCTTAGGTCCTATACTCCAATCTGACATGTCTTAAGTCGTACTCCAATCGGACAATGAATGTGACATTTGAAATAAATCTACAAGCTTTGTCTAATGACACAAAAATTAAGCTCGGACCTCTAATATTTTCTGAGTTATGGTCTCATGATCGTCAAATAATCTAAGGGGGACTAAACTGATTTAGGCGGTATAAATTCAAATTTACAAACGCTATTGAGCCCCCTATGCTACATTTAGAGCACTCGACACCGTTCAGCGATCTCTTCTACTGGAGCCTTAATTAAATTTGTAGCCTGCTTACCTTAATTAAATTTTGTTTTGAATTTTCTTCCTTTAATCTGGCACTTCCAGAGACTGTCATCTTCAATTTATTTATGTGAAGAGAATCATCATTTTCTGTTGAAGAATGCAGACATTTTTTAAAATTAATTATTTTATTTGTTTTTTCATTAAATATTGTAGAGGCTATTATATGCACAGATCCAGCAATAACATCACCTGGGGCAAAACAGGCATCTTTCTCGTCTAGTTTGACATTAAAATGTTCTAAATGCACGGGAGGGATCTGATAAGAGAAAGTTTAGTTTTGTTATTAACACCTTTTAGTATTGTTTCTTTCCTTTGAAATGGGGCCGAGGTTCTGTTGTGTATACTTTTAAGTATAAAAGTCATTCTACAAATTATGTATGGTATTGTCTCTATAGTTTTGTCACCACTAAAATATTTTATGCTTAACCAAACACACCTATTCTACATTATGATTAGACATTTTAGTCATAATTCCGGAGACCAAGGAAGTCTGTAACCGATTCAATAGTCCACAATTCATTTATGATTAGGGTTGCCAAAATGGACAGAATCGGACCGAAATATTGAGTCAGGCCTAGGATATTTGGCACGAAAAAGATTCGTATTCAAATGAGTATTGTCTGTCTTTATACTTTTTTATACTTAATAACTGCTTTATACTAGATCCAGGGAATATTGGACAAAAATGTCATTAACTGAGCAATGTCATTAAATGTCACAAAAATGTCATTAACCCTTAATAATTTAGAGTTTAGACCACTCCAATAATAAAATATATTTACATTTCTAGGCTGACAACAAGGACGTATATAATCTCTTCGTGGCAAAATTGCAGGTAGAGACTGCCTTTTAAGATTAGAAATAAAAATAGCATCTTCACTATTTGCCAAATCTTCACTACTTTTCGACATTTCTTCTCTTACTTTTGTCGCATACATTTTTTAGAAAAACTTTTGAGTTAAAATTTGTTTTATTTAAAAGAATTTCTAAGAATAAAAAAAATTTTTTTTGATAAATGGTAGCTGTTCTAAATTTCTCTTTTCTCCATTTCCGGCAATTTAACGAGCAGTTTAATGTATTCCAATGATGTATATAAATGTTCTATTTTTATTTAAGGACATGAATGAGATTTATTTTTTATTTAAAATTCAAAAGATTATAGTTAAATGATGTAAAAATGTAGCAATATTTGAATTAAAGAATGAAATATAAAAGAAATTTGGATTTTGGTTGTTACGACACAGCAACTTAAAATAGGCAGAGAGTGCAACCAGCGTTTCAGTGCGGGAGTATGGTTTAGTCGGTTACTTGACAGCGAAAAATGCAAGAGGTTCGAATCCTTTCAGAGAAAATGAATTATATAAAATTAAAATCTCAATAATATCTTTCCTATTTAACAACTAATGCCATTTCAACTAAAATACATTTTTAAACAAGTTTTTCCATTAATTTTTCATTTTCCAAGGTTGGTTTATTCGGCCATTTAAAACTTTTTAAACATTTAAAAAATCAATAAATTTGGTTTTAAAACAAAGATAAGACTTTGTTTAACAATTTGACTAAAATAGATTTTTTTTATCTAAGTTTTTCTTCGAGATAAAGCTTCTCGAAGTTGGACATCAAATCTTTAGAGAAATAGCATGCGAAAAAAATAGAGCGAAATAGAAAAAGAGAGAATATTTTATTTTTTCAGTGCCACTGAAACGGCTCTCTAGTTCCAGGTTAAGTTGCTGTGTACGACAAAGAACTTACAAAAAGGGGTCCCCACGATCCCAAGGTTTTCGATGTTATGTACTAAGATTTTTTTACCTTACCCAAGGTCGTTTTTGTCTTAATTTGAAAAATTTGCTGAAATTATAAAAGAATGATGGGGCCTTTGGTGGATGTAGAAGATTCCTTTCAAATCTATCAGAATATATCAAGTTAAATGATTTGTTAGTGATATATACTAACATCCAAAAATAAAGAATGACCAACTGGCAATGTGCATTGGATCGAAACAAACTTTTACTTTTTGTGACCTATAGAATTTAATTTAAATTTATGGAGAAAAAGAATCACAAAATTAATAAACTTGATATAATGGAAATTGTATTTAACGGGTAATGGAATTTTGGTCACCAATCGGAAAAAAATGCCTTTAAAGTTTTTAACAGTTAAGAGAAATTTGATCATTCGAAATTTCTTATATCACGCAGTTTCCCTCTTTTCCTTTTTCTTTTTTTTTTGAATTTTGATTCGACCATTTAATTTGATGTTTCAGATTTCTCCCTTCCTTGCCAAAAGGCAAGGGAGAAAAAACTATGTATTGAAAGAGGCAAAAATAAGTGCGTGCCTCTCCTAATACAAAAAAATGCAAAGAAAGGAATTAAATATGCACAATTAAATGTAAATTAAGGTTGGACACAGATGTCAGGATTTGAATGGCTGCCATACCGTAAAAATAAAGGTACCAGTTAAAAATCAGTTGTGTTCAACTCATAAAACTAGGGTGCATCCCGACTGACTATGAGCCGTTATGTGCGTTGTACCACAACTCAGCGTAAGTGGAGCTTTATATTAACACGGAAGATTTTATGTGAATAACGAAGACCAATTTGAAATAGAGCTAATTTTCGCCGATTTTCGACTTTTTGGACATTCGTCTTTCTCCGTTCGCTTTTTAAAATCAATTTCGGAACAAAATAGATGTAATTAAATCCATGTCTGTCTAATCCTTTCAAACAAAAACTAGGAAAAATAACCTGAGTTCTTGCGTTACAATACGAGGAACCAGAGCTTGAATACCTTAACAATTTAATTTTTAGTCTAAAGTCTGTCTAATTGCGATATCTATGCTTTAAGATCCTTTGTCAAAGCAAGGCAATGACATCCAAAAAATAACAGCAGTTATTTGATCTCCAACCGACATTTTATACTCAAAAATCAATAGCCAAAATAAAATCTAAGATAAAATAAATTATAAGTTAAAGATATATTTTACCTAAACTCTTCAAAGGCGTAACTGATTAAGAGTTTAAAGACTGCTAATGACTGCCCCTACATACTTAAAGCCAAGACTATTAATAACAAATAAGCTAATCAAACCAAAAAGAGAAATCAAAAATTGCTAGTGCCAGAGATCCTTTACGCTAAAAGATATATAAGCTGGCAAAATAATTTGGAATGAATGAATGAGAGAATTTGAGTCTAGAAAGGCGATCAGAAATAAATTATAAATTCGAAAGTATTTTGCTAAGTATAACATATTAAATTAAAGGGAATGTAATAGTAGCTAAAAATTCGTTGAGGATGTAGAAATTCTAGAATCTCAGCACTTATTTTTTGGATGTTAGCATTGCGCTAATAAATAGTATGTTTCTAAATCATTTTAATTTAATACAAGCAAACGATACAAAAATATTGTTAAGTAAATGTTAAATAAATTTGATGAAGATTTTATTCATGACATTGAAACTAATACTGTGGGTAATTATTTTAAGATATTGAGTTGCCAAATTCTAAAGAATGGCCTCCAAAAAATATGGAAACGTCATCGGAAGAAGCATAACTATCATATTAATTTTACATTTAGAAGAGTGAAAATTCATAAACTAATACTAAACAGATAACCTCCCTGATTAATTCTTAACTAAAGAACTTAAAATTTGTTCGAAATACAAATGTTAAAATCAGTTCCTGAAGTCTCTTACAGCCTAACTTTATAGATTCGAGGAATCTATATTCAGGCCTTTAGATTCAGGGATTTATGGCCAGGAATCACAAAACGGGAATCCAGTAACCATTCTTTAAAAGGCCGATTGTGGAGGAATTACGGTAACAAAGAATCCTATTTGTAGCTAAAGGCAATTGATTTTTTTGCCAAATCCTATCGCATGGCATCCAAAAATACGAAAATATGGAAATAAAAAAACATAACTATTATATTAATTTGCATTTAAAAGGGTTAGAATCTATAAACTAATACTAATTAAATATACCCTTAGACCTTTCGACTTTAATTTAAAAAGCTTCAACTTTAGAGTAACTCAAAGTTGGATAAAAGTACCGTTTGTGTTTCCTCTTTTCTCACATTTTTCCATCTCTTCAGAAAAAAACAGAAGATCTCTCGCGATATTTTAAAGGTTTGGGTAAACGTGTATGCTGAGTTCGAATACGATGCCAGATTTTATTTATTTTAAATTCCGGACCCAAAAGTCAAGCTCGAAAGGACGTTCCAGTTTAAAATTTTTAAATTTAATTCAACATTCGAATTTTGAGTTCGGAATTTAAAATAAATAAAATCTGGCATCATATTCGAACTCAGAAACTCGAATACCTACTGGCAAACCTCTAAAATATCACAAAGCTCTTCTCTCTTTTTTAAAAGACTGATATAGAAAAATTTAACAATATTAGTTTATAAAATTTTCATAACCTTTAAAATGTAGGTGTAGTGGCGTTTATTGGTGTGTTTTATAGTGGCGTTTATTATTGGTGTGTTTTATTGGATCATTGATTAACTTGTCAAGTATTTTTGTATGCCATGCAAAGGATCGGCAATAAATTATCTAGACTATTGTCATATAACAAGTTAGATAACAATAATTGTGGTTCAAGACATTGAACCAAAGATGGTTGTCTCGGATCCGACAATTCTGAAAGAAGTTATGCTTCGTGGTACTCAAGCTCCCTTATGGGATGACAATCAAA